ATTATTGATGGGAAAAAAAAAACCCACCTTGTGTTCGGAAACCACACACCTTCCGTATTCTCCTTCAAGGAAGTGAAGGCAAAGGCAAACCGCAAGCCCATGAGGCGCCAAATGAGCCTCTTTTTGCCAGAAACCCGTAACCCTGCCTCTTTTTAGCTGGGGTTTGGTACCGGCCTGACGTGGGATGCTCTCCAGAGCGTCACCTTTTAAAAATTAACCCTTAACACTGCAACTTGCTCTTGTTTCCCTCTAGGTCAATGTCGGCTGTGTGCCAAAGAAGGTGAGGGTGCTTTTCCCTGCCGAGGGCTGGGGCTGGTTTGGGTGCGTGCTGAATCACGGGGCGGTGCTGGTGCGGGGCATGGGGAGGAAGGAGCCGGGAGGAAGCAGGGGCTTGAGGTGTGTTGGGCAATCCCATGCTCTGCAGCCCTCAGCCTGTGGGCTCCTCTGGGCATTGGGAAGCATGATGGGGCTTTTCCCAAAATCAAACTGCTCTTCCCGACCCGGCGGGGCAGCATGCTGAGCGCGGGGTGGTCTGTGCGGGCAGGTGATGTGGTACGCAGCGGTCCATGCAGAGTTTGTCCACGATCACGCCGACTACGGCTTCGAAACGCCCGGTGTCAAGTTCAACTGGAGGAACGAACGGAAAAAGATGGATGGGAACGACCGTCCGCTGTGAGTACGGCACGGTGCGTGTCCGTGGGGAGCAGCCGTGGGTCAGCGCCCCGGCCCCGGGGCTCACTGCCCACCCCAAAGGGGTCCCTGAACTTTGAGCTGGTTCTGCGGCCGGGATCCCCACTGAGTTTTGGGAAGGAGGGGTGGCAAACCGCTTGTGCAAAGAGATTCGGAAAAAATGGATGCAGGGGAGGCAGGCACAAAAACCTGCTGTCAGTGGGGAAGGCTACTGCCTGCTGGTTAATTCGGGGCTGCTGTATTTTGTGGTTTGGGTGCCACGTGCCGAAGGGACTGACTGCTTTCTGCTGAGCTCTGTAGGTTCATTTTCTCCCGGTGACAATAAGCCCCCGCTCTGTTCCAGAACGATTAAAGAGAAGCGTGATGCTTACGTGACACGCCTGAACGAGATCTATGAAAATAACCTAAAGAAGGTGAGGATGCATCTATCCTGCAAGCCAAGCGGGAAGCCGGCTCTGCTGGATTTTTTGCCCCTTTTCCAGCCCTAACGGGTTTCCTTGTCTTGACCCGTGCCAGCCCTGGCTCCGTCAGCTGGCCCTCGCACCCCCTCCTGCTGCT